ATTATAACCCATAATAACCCATTTCTATACAATTGTTAATGAGACATTTATAGACGGATGTTTTCCCTGTACCACCAGGTTAGTGTGACCAGACGTCCCCCATTRGGGGGGATTGTCCCGTTTTTCAGAGGTGCGTCCCGCACATCTAAATGTCCCACTTTGGTCCCGCATTTATAAGAATTTAATTGGTACATCATGATTCATGATTCTACACTCTGCAGTCTGCAGGACGTTGTATCAGACTTGCAATCATGAATTGATAATAATAAAAATTTTATCCAAGGATAAGTATTAAAACTGTAATTGTGATTGTAAATTAAAATTTGTTTAAGTAAAAACTTTAACATTTTAAAATATATGTAGCACCTATCTAATTGTTTGTCTGATTTGTTTATCAATAAAAAATAATTTTAAATAAAATGAAATGTAATGTATTTGCTATTATTATGTATTTACATTTTACGTACCTCTTTTTTTAAGTGTCCCTCTTTAGGATAAAATAATTATGGTCACACTACACCAGGTCCATAAATGAAATTTGCGTTAGGAACACTTGTATTTTCTAGGTTCACACATTTCATAATGGTGCTTAGTGGCACTAAGTTGGTGCTTATAATATCACGCTGTTCTCGATTTGCGCTGTCAATTAGATCATGTTGAATTGATAATGGTAATGTATCTTGTTGATTTGATTCGCTGTCTATTGTAATAGCAGCATCATAATATTCTGGTAAACCGATTGATTTCAATGTCTGACCATGCAATTTTAATGTTAATGAAATATCTGATAAGGATTTTGCATAAGCAATAATGACATGTGAAATTTGTCTTCACTCATTGCCATTGGCGCAAMTAGAGGGGTGCAAAAGAGTCTTTAGCACCCCCAAGTTTTAATTTAGCACCCCTTGATATTTTAAATCTAACTATTATAATTATAATAAAATAACATAAATTTTATGTTTTTAATAGTATAGCACCCCACGTTTTAGAGGTCTAGTTGCGCCTATGCTCATTGCGTGTATAATAATTAATAATATAATTCACTCATTAACCAAAAGAGACAAATGACATCGCACTGTTATATTGACGTATATGTTCTCTAAAATGTTTGGACTCATTATTTTCACCAACAAACAAATCAAATATTTCATTAGGTAGACGGCTCTCCGGTAAAGATATTTATTAATATTTACCACAACATAAACTGAAATGCCCCCTAGTCGTTTTTTCACACTCAAAGTGCAACAAATGACAATGCTCGCATTTAAATGTTAAATTACCCAAATTATAGGGAGTAACGAGAACTATATTATGTGATAAAGCGCATTTATAAAATAATTTAAACAATAATACACTGATTACACTGTGATTCCGAGTTTCTTCATGTTTTTTCTTCCTCGTCTTCCAGTTAAAGAATGTGTTTTACGCTTACTATTAGTGTTTGCAGTTATTTCTTTAAGTAACATAAATGAATTTTGAATATTCATATTATTACCAAAAACTAAAACACTATAATGTCCTGCGTCGCCATTGCCAGAAAATAATAAATTACACATTATAGCACCAGAACCATAATCATTAGATCTATACACACGAAATGTATGACTTGAATAAAGTCGATTAATGCATTTAAGTTCGACGTGACCAGCATTACTCRCCATCTAGGCTCATCAAATGTTCGTTATCATTAGAATTATAAATAGGTAGTCTATACGAAAGCTTACCAATGACAAATTCTTTGTACACATCCCATTTACTTACCACCAAGTTAACCACTCTTAATCGAATATTTCGATGTTCTTCTTGCGTGCCGAATATTAAATGTGACACGGAACGAAATAAACAGTTTCCATCGCCTGGTATTGCAATTAATTGATATTCCATTTTTCGACGACGACACTACAACGATAACTGTTCAAGAACAGTAACAATTATTGTACAATTATTCAACTATTTGATTTTTTTTACCGTAACCCGGCAGYGACGGGTAATTCAGCTAGTATAATTAGAGCACTATAGATAGTGGTCCCTTTATAGTGCCTTAGTATAATATAATAAAGTTGTAAAGATGTGTGAGTGCACACGGCAAACAGCGCTTGTCGCTATGTAACAATAGCGCAAACTTTATACTTCCAATAACTTTTAAAATAATTATTTTTTTGGACTTTTCTCTTTTGATGGCTCTTCTGCACACCGAGTACTTTTGTTTTAAAAAAAAAATCATGAAAATCGGCCCGGTAGAACTTCAGATATAACTGTCACAAGAAATCGCCTCATGTTTTAATAATAATAATTAATATATAATAAAGATATGTATTTTAAGCTATTTTTATTAACTTTTCTTAAAGTTAAAGATACCTATGCTAACAAAATATATCAGCAAAAAATTGATATTAAAGAATGTAGTAGCCGTTAAAAATACTAAAAATGTATGAATCTTCACACACTGTTCAATAGATATCATGCAAAAATTTCAAAATTAAATTTCAAATTGGATATTACAGAAGTACTAGTCACAGATAGAATTAAAAAAATCTTTTAATGCTAGTAGAAATGTAAGATCTAACATTAAAAAGCACATTTGATTGGAGAAGACTCAGAAAAATTCTGAGTATGATTTATTTCTTTAAGCTTTACCCCAATAAACRTAAGAGACAAATATGTATGTAATTTTTTGTAAATACACTAGAATTTTAATGGTAGATTTTTAAAAAAAGAACATTAAAAATGTACATAGTTAATTTATAATAATTAGTACACACTAAAATATTTCATTTTTTACTATGACTAAACATCGTATTTCAATTTAAACGGCTTCCTGGATGATTTCGGTGTACTTCTTAATTTTTGTAGCAACACTCATATCAACATATTTGTCACCAATGCTGACTATCATTCCACCAATAAGTGTTGGATCAACTTTTAATTCTAACTTGATTGTCTCTCCTTTTTTGGAAAATGCTTGCAATGTCTTTTTAAGTTCCTGTTGATCAGCTGAATCCAAAGGCTAAAAATCAAAATATATGTATAAAATTATTATGTGACTAACTTTATTTTATTATTATGAAACATACTACCTATAATTTAAAAAATCTTTTTGCRTACAATATTATGATATGAATACTTATATCATAGAAAATTTATGAAATAGATACAGGTTATTTCCACATCAGTAAATTGGTATTAATAGTAACTTTTTTATGAAATAGTCACTCCTATATGATATTGTGTAATTTATTTCATAGTGTGTTCATTCAATTTATATACTGAAATTAATTATTTACTGCACACATATATTATAATTATGTTTACTCCACTAAGGGGCATCACTAAATATTTTAGCAGAATGATTTTGGGTCAAAATGGGATGGGGTTATTGAGAAAAGAAAGAGGTTGTTGAAAACCTATTTTTTTTTTAATGTTTTTTGATAGAACATTTTTTCTAATTATTACAAAATTAACAAAGTTAAAGTAAGTTAAAATTAATAAACAAACAATATTTTAACATTTTAAAATGCTTATTTTATACTCAAATATCTCTGATATTRTTAAAACATGATTATTTTTACACAAAGATGTCATATACAGTCACTAGAGTTTATCTAATAAAAAAATTTAGATAAATGATTTAAAAAAATTACCTTGAATGTTTAGTTTGTTTATTTATTTTATTGCACAAGTAAAATTAGGATTAACCATATAAACAAACAAGTGTTGAAATACTAATTAACTTGACAATTTGTTAATACATAATTTAAACTTTGTAAATTTTGTAATTAGAAGAACTTTGATGAATTTTTTTGAAACAAAATTGTCAGGATCTGCAGACATAATTGCAATTAAA